CTCTTTCCTGCTTATGCAGGGGGTCGGACTCGATGATCTATTGAGGTCCCTTCCGACCCTAACATCTATGAATCTATGAAGGAAGGCTGTTCATTCCTGGGGAGACATGGCTGTAGGACTTCTCCCATTTGCCCTTTAGAGACCCAGCTCACCCTTCTCCTGTTCTCTCCTTTCCCAGCTGCAGCAGAACCCCCTTGTGAGGAGAATGGAGATGAGCCGAAGTTCTGTCTCCATCTACGTGGACCAGGTGTGTATGCTGAGGGATGAGTGAGGGGCACTGGCAAAGCTGTGTGAGGAGCTCATAGCTGGGATAGCAGTCTTGTTAAACTCCTTCCTTGGCTCTGGCAGACTGAGCATAGTCACTCACTTGTGCCAAGATTCGGGGAGTTCTAAACGTAGTTTCCCATCTCCCCCACCTCCCAACAGCTGAGCAATACCTCCCAGACGTATGCCCTAAAATTGGAGCGGGAGATCAAGGTGACCAACTTGAAGCCACGCCACATCAAGGTCTATGACTATTACCAGCCAGGTGGGTTGTGGAGCTGCTGGGGGCCTCTGGGCTGGGTGTGGGGGCCTGGGCTCTGTGTGTGTGACTGATCCCTTCTCTCCTGTTTCAGAGGAGCAAGCCCTGGCTGAATACAGGGCTGTCTGCAGCTGAGGTAGGCCCAAGCTTCATGGAGCTGCCCTCCTGTTTTCCTCCCTGCCACTGTGCACTTCTCTTCACACCATCCCTGCCAGGGTGGACACAACAGCCCCCTCCTGCCCTGGAAAGACCCTAACCCTGGTGTCTCTGCTCCATCTACTGCCCTGTCAGCTTGAAGCACCTGCCTCCTGGCTCTCTCCCCTCCATCTCCCTTCCTCCTTCCCTGGGCTTTGCAGCAGTCTCCCCACTTGAAAGAATTGTGTCCATGCTGGAAGAAGCAGCACATTTTGGCTCCCCAACCTCCCAGGAAAGGGGAGGGGTCATAACAGACCTTGCAAAAAAAAGGACTAGACTCTTGCAGTGTGCTCTTGACAAGGCTGTGCATTGAGCTGTTTGGAGACTTCAGTTAGTGCAGAACGTGGTTGTCCCTGAGTTATGTGTCATGAAGCTTGCATTTGACTTTGATATTCCACTCCCTGGCTTACGAGCTGAGCTTCCACTCTGGGTTCATTGTCCTGGAAGGCTTGGGACCTGGCTCCCCACCTCTCTGGCTCAGTCTGCTGCAGCTAAGACCAACATTGTGGTGGAATTTCCCTCTCCACAAGCAAAGGGTTTCATAGAGAGCCCTCCATCACTCTGATGAAACTGAGCTGATCTTCCAGGTGCGCTGCATAGCCCATGCCTGTCTTTTCTCACTGGCACATGGAGACGCTGGGGGACTGGAAGTGCAGATTGGTAAGGATTTGGGTGGCTCTCATTTCTCTCCTTCAGCTTGCTTTGCTCTGACTTCTCTCCAATTCCCAGTCTCTCTCACTATTTCTTTTAATGCTGCTCCACTTTATTTCCTCTCACAGTCTTCCCAAGAGTCTCCCGGGCAGTCTCTCATTCTCCTCTGTTTCAGCACACAGGGATGACATAGGACGGAAATCGTTCCTCCCCTCCATCAGCAAGGCCAGCCCTGGCTCGTCAGGATTCCTGCATTGTAGCTGCTGGGGCGAGGGGAGTGTGAAGCCTTGACAGTTGCCCTTGCAAGGGACTGGAATCTCAGCTCTGGACAAAGCATGGATCACTCTGGGGTCCCTCTGGGATTTTAGGCCTAGGCCCACATTGCATGAATGGCCCATGCCCTGTAACCCTCTCCTGGTGAAGTAATTTTTGGGGTATTTGGTTATTTTTGATCATTGTAATCTGGGGATTTTCCTGAGTGTGAAAAGAATGAAAATAAAATGTCAATCATGGACCAAGGCACTGTAGTATTTGATCGGGCTCCATCATAACAGAGGGGGAAAGGCTCAGGGGATAGTGCAGCTTATCCTATTAGTGTGTCCCCTCTGTTTACCTCCCTCAACCCTGATTTCCATGTCTCTAGCTGCCTGTGTGGTGTCAGCAGGAGTTAGGTGTAGATGAATAGTCCCCTAATTCTATCATTGCCAGATCCACAGGCCAGCACTGGAGCAAATCCCCCACAGCACCATCCACCTGCAACAGGCTGTCCAGGTAGATCTCCCCACTGAGCTGATTCTGTACTCCTGCAGCCATGCCATGAAAAATGTTCCCTCTGATATCTCCTCTGGTCTGTTGCAGCATAGAATTGAAAGTGCAGGAAAGGTGGAGCACTTCAGGGGATAGGAAGTGTCCAAGAAAAGAGCAGCTAGTTCCCAGTGCTCCCCTATTTCCTGAGCACTTGTGTCTTCCACATGAAAAAACCACTCCCCTTGTCTCTGAGCAGATCCATGCCTCTCTCCTTCCCACTTCCTTCTCTCTCCCCTCTGAGGTCTACCTCATTATCAGTATTACTATATTATTTATCAACCCTATATTTCAGGCAGAGATCTGTTGACTTACATTAGAAACTAGAAAAGCTTTATTTCCACATGGAGGACTGCTACTGAGTTGCTAGTAGAGTCTAACCAACTGGAGGTCCACATACTTTTGGTTGCCTACAAGCTGACGAGTAGCTAGAAAAGGGTTCTACAATATCGTTTTGATGTCTCTCATTGTATCAGTTGCATTTCAGCAACAACCTTCCTAAACTCCTCCCCTAGGACACAAATAGGGCTACAGGGATCAAACCTACAGACAAACAAATCACAGGTCACCTGCAGGATCTTTCAGCAAGCAGCAGCACTTGGGCGCTGTATAGATGAATTGAGACAGAATTGTGGAGATATCCACAATGTAATCCTCCATTCTGACCATTAAGCCCTTTGGCTGATGCTTTCCAACTGATAGGAGTGAAGCATACAAATAAGCTGGAGGGAATGCACAGTGACAGGCTGGGGCATCCCCGAAGTCACAGTGCAGCCCTGTCTCCAGCACCAATGGGCATGGGGTAGAAATGTGGCTTGTTCCCATACGTGATGGAATGGATTGGACACAGTGCTCGGAAATTACTAGCTTACAGGAAGACAAATGCCATCTGGTTAAGTGTTTGTCTTCACTTTGGCCAGTTTTCTTTGCTGCTGTAATGACTCCCTTATCTGTGGCCTGGTTGGCTTGGCTGCTAAGTAAAGCCCCATGAAGACATAGAGCAAGATCTTACTCCACCTATTAGGTGCCTAGGTCTATGCTAGGCACCTAAATGTAGTTCTAGTCAACTCTGAGAACACTCTCAAAATCCCTTTATTACACCAACATTTCTAATATAACATTATTTTGGCCATAAAACTAAATTAAAAACAAAACAAAGAAAAAAACCAATGAGGAGGACCCACCCCACCACCTTTTGCATTAACTGCTTTCAGGGACTCAAGCAGGGCGAAATAGAGTTGTACTTGGGCATCTAAATTCTCTCATACATCTAATAGGCGGAGTCATATTTGGCCCACAGTCTCTGCCTCCAAAAGTCAGACCTTACTCCACCTCTTAGGAATCTAAGTATATCTAGGAACCTAAATGTTTCACCCTGTTCAAGTCTCTGAAAAAAAGCTAACATGCCTATTTTTGTAACAGGCCCTCACAACAAGCAGCACAGAGGAAGAGGATCCATTCATCTTTTGTGTCAGTTGTTTTTCAGGGACTTGAACAGGATGAAACAGAATCATATTTAAATGCTTAAGTCCACTTAGGCCTCCTAATAAATGGAACAGGTGTTGACTCTTAATCTCTTCTTCTTGATTCAGAGGAGGGATTTGAACCAAAGTCTGCATTTCCCAAGAGAGTGCCGCAAACACTGGGCCACAGGGCACTCTGGGCAGGGCTCTCTCCATCCTGCCATGAAGGTATTCCCTCCCTACATAGTTAAGTATTCAGTGGCACTGGGAAAGAGAAGGAGAGAGAAAGATACTCATTCTACAGCTCTGTGCCAACAATTTGGGAAAAAAAACCCTGGTTTTGAAATGAACACTTCATTTTTCAGTAGTGCCACCAAACTAAAATATCAGCTGTTCATGCAGCTGTAGCATCTGGAGAAAGTAGCTCTCTGGATCTGGGAGAGCAGTGAAACTGAAAATTTGCAAATAGGGGCATCTCATTTGAGGTCTGAGGTTTGACCCAGGTCAGAATAGCCACAGCTCAGTCCTTTATATGAGTTACTCTTCCAACTTGCATTGCTGCTTCTCTAAAAGTGGGTGGCGAGTGAGAGCACACAGCTTGGGCAGCTAGTCCCTGGAAGGAGCCACAAGGACTGTACAGAATTACAGGGCCATGTCTCAGGAAAAAGCCTTAGCACGTTTTATCCCTCATGCTTCAGAGGAACTTGAAGCAAGATCATGGAGTTATAGGGTCTTGGGATGAAAGGCTTTCTCTTTGGACAAATGTGATGTCTATTTACAGCTTAACAGCCAGCTTTATTATGCATCAGCACATAAGTCTCCAGGGCCAGCCAGGAGCTGCTTGAGTGGCTGTAGAGAGGTCTGCCATGCTTCCTCCCTTGAAGGCCTCTGTCCCATTCCCCAAGTGTATGGCCCTCACTCCTGGAAGCGAGAGATTCCTTTCCCACAACATCAAGGCAGGCTGCTGTGCCTGCCTTTGAGGGGACACCTGAACCGTGATCTCTGATAGCAGAGCACGGGGAGACAGGTGTTTATCGCACCATGCCTCCAATCTAAGTGGGAGTGGTGATCCCCTGGGGGCAGGAGTTCTCTGAAAAGGAGCTAACCAGTTACCGTGTTGTCTGCAGTCCGAGCTGCAGCAAAAAAACATTGTTAAACAAATGGAGGTGAAACTGGAAGGGATCTACGTTTATCTGGACCAAGGTAAATAGAACTGAGCTACCTTGGTCAGGAATAGCAGGGGGAGGAGGTTGCAGGACCTGAGTGAGAAGCACTGTCTTGCTGTGCCATTACTTTGCCTGGCATTTGCCAGCCCTCACAGTTACTCATTCTCTAAAATCCTGTCCCTCCAATGGCCTGCGAACATAGCAGGTGTGTCTCATTTTTTCCCTTCCCTGCCTGTCCCTACCTTGCTGACCCTCCCTCCTGTCTCCACAAGCTGAGTGACAGATCACAGACTTTCTTCCTGTAGCTGGAGCAGAATATCGAAGTGCCTGGCCTGAAGTCAGGTCACATCAAGGTCTATGACTACTACCATTAGGTTTGGAGCCAGTGGTTTCTTCAGGCCAGGAGCAGGGGCTCTGTGGCCTCAATGCTGTGTTTTCAGAGGGCTGAGGCTGGACTCTCCCCTCTGTGTGTAACTCTGTCTTTCTCTTTTCCCCTTGCAGAGGAGCGGGCCCTGGCTGATTACAGCACTGTCTGCAGCTGAGACACAGCCAGCAAGTTGGGAACTGACAGGATGGGATGGCACAGGGGAGAGCTGGTGTCTGTCTGGAGCATGGGGAGAGTCTGTGGTGGGGCTCCAAGAGGGAGTGGGGAAGCTGGTTGGTAGCAGGGCCTTAATGCCAGTAGAGAGGAAATCACTGCAGATTTCCAGGTAGGAAAGCCAGGCCAGGGGCCTCTGGGGATAGAGAGGAAGTTCTGGGGCAGCAGGACCTCTCAGATGGAAAGGAAGGAAACCCTTGCAGCAGGAAGGATGGGTTAGGCAGCTGGGACAGGGCCATCTCTCTTGTCTGGAGGGAGAAGGGTAGATTCAGCCAGGGACGAGGCACTGATCTGTTTGTCCCTGGCCCACAGTGGTTCCTGTAACCACAGAAATAATGGTCAGCATTGGATTGGCCTGTGCAAGTGACCTCTGGAGAGACAAAAAGGAAGCATTTTGCTCTTCACTGAGCCCCAGAGTCAATACCGGGAGAGAGCACTCCGCAGGAACCCCAGGAGTAGCCCCTGCTGGTCAATGCAGGATCCACGCCACAGCCCTATGAAGCAAAGGGAGTGGATAGGGACCTTCCTTCTGGCTTGGCCTGCTCTCCACAGGATGGGAAGGGGCCTCCTAGGCCACTAAGTCCAGTCCCCAGGGCTCATAGGCACACTTTTATCCAAAGAATCCCGCACAATCACAGTCACCACTTCAAACCCTCACACATAACCAGGCACAAAACCATGAACATTAAAGAAACTGCACTGGGCAAAAAAGGGGTGATGACAGCACTGCCAGTGCCCTGCCTCTGTAACAACAGGGAAGTAGTTAGTAAATACATTCCCAGAGGATCCCAGGACAAGTACCATGCCCCACACTACAGGAGTAGGCAGCACCCCCACAGTCTGTGCTAATTTGACTGAGGGGGGAAAAAAATCTCTCCTGATCCCAGATTTTGTGATGGGTGTGAATCCCAGACCTGCCAGCTTGTTTTCCAATTGCTCTAGTAGGAAACAGACTCTCTAAGGAGCTGGGAGGTGGCTGCTGCCCCTGTGTCTCCTGGCAATCTCTGTCCCATTTGTTTCAGTGCATGGGGCAGACACTGGACAGAAGGCCAGGCCCCAAGAAGCTCAGGTTGGGAGGACTGCGGTGATGCCTCCCACCCTCGTTGTGGTTTCTGGTAGATAATAGGGATTTATTTTTTTTCTTTTCTTGGAGGGGCTGTGCCTTTGGCTTCAGATCATTTTGCACTAGGAATTCTCCCAAGGAAATAAAAGCAAAGTTCACATGCGTGACCTCTGACACTGTTCTTCCAGTTGCTGATGATGATACATGCACTCAGCCCATCTGTGTAACTCCTCCTGGGCTGCTGACCAGCATGTGTGAGGCCCCTGGTCTTTCTCTACTGCTTTCTGCTCCACAGCCCTGCTCAGCATTTCCATCCTCAGAAGCCTGCTGCTGCACCTGAAGACACTCTACTTGCCTGCAAAAACTTTCCCTTAGGCATGCTCTAGAGCTGTGCACCACAGCCTGTCCCTCACAGCTAGCCAGGTTCTAATCTCTCACCCAAGGTGAGCCACTGGGGGTGCTGACAGATGTGCAGCTCTCTGCTGTAACTCCTGGTGCTTCAGAGGAAGTGCCATGAGTTACAGAGTGTCCCCCCCGCCCTTCCAACTCAACAGACATACGCTGTTGGGTCCGGGGAGTTGTGGGAATCAATCTCCAGTTTGGAGTGGCTGTGTGCCTGTAGCCATTTTCTCTTAGCTCTCCCTTTCCCTTCTCCCAGCTCCAGTACACTTCAGAATGGGAGGAGGAGAAGGGAGGGGAGATAGCTCAGTCTGGGGTTTGCCCAGCCTGTGCTGGAGGGTGGGGCAGGTGGATTGAAGCCCCCACACATCCAATCCACACATCTCACCCTTCAGTGCAGGCTGGGCAAACCCACATGGAACTCCCTCCCCTCCTTTCTTCCCCTCCCATTCTGAAGATAGCACCAAGGGCGGGGCTGGGTTGTATCAGCTCAGCACTGCTCCTTGCACATGCTGACAGATGTTAATGGAAGTGCTTCACTTTGAAGTGCCTTCATCTGAACACTCATGTAATGAGGGCTCAGATTGTCATGTGATTGGGTACTTTTGAAAGCACTCTACAGCTATGCCCTTACAGAACTGCACAGCTGTAGAGTGCTTTAAGGGGCCAATCATGCTACAAATGTAACTTCTGTCTGTGCCCTGGGTAAAGTCAGGGCAGGTCTATGGCACAGTCACTGGGCAGAGCACTTGGAAGTGGCGGGTGTTATACTTCCCATGGGTTGTCTTGGAGTCCCCTGTCTCTGCATGATTCATCTCCATGGCTGAATGAGACTGAATGAGACTATAAGACTGTCCTGTGACTGGGACCAAGCCAGGGGACTGGGCCCAAGATGAGTAACTCACTTGCTTCTTTGAAACAGATATTCAGCCAGCAGCTTTCAGCTATCACAAAGGCACTGGCCTCAGTCATGCCTTTAGCATTTAGCTCATGAGCACTCATGCCCGTTTCCACTGAGTGCCCTTCCTGCTTACTGAGCATGTCAACATGAGACATTTACTGTGCAGTTGACTAATTAACTGTTCAGTAAACATCTCAGTGTCTATATGTGTGCCCCCTATTAGGGTGCACAAAACTAATAAATAATAAAACTCTGCAGCAAATACAAGTACTATCCTGCTGCAGAGTTTTTTCATATGCAGCAGTGCACGTGTAGATATTGCCCCAGCTGGCTGGGGCACTGGGTGCTTCAGTGTGGGGCTAGCAGGCAGAAGCATTCTCATATCCCAGCTAGCAACTCTGCAGCACATGGAGCCTGGTTGGAGCAGCCCTGGCCTGGCAGGCTGACCCCCTGGGTCCCCTGCCAACCCAGATGCTCCAACTGGGGTCTATGTGCTGTGCACGAATAACTTCAGAGCAATATGCTCCAGAGTTTTTTGCTCCCAGGCACATGTTCAAACAGTGGGCACATTATTTGCACATATAGATATGCCTGCTCTTGGCTCTTGCAGGTTGAGTGCCCATTCTGGGGCCCAAGTCACATACTCCCATACTTGCACAGAACAAAATGGAGGTGGGGGGGGGGCACCCCAGAAGTTCTTACATCTGTTCTCTTCCTCTCTTTCACAACACACACACACATACACACACACACACTGGATAGAATAATCTCACTGAGGAATTCCAGTCCCCTGAATCCACTTGATTTTAATCAGGTGCCAGACAGACCCTAAGTCTCCATGTTACTGGCTGATTCATAGGAAATTTCAGATCATCTGCTTGTTTTGCCCTCAAACTCTGCCAGGAGAGCTGAAGCTGGTTTGGTAGTGATGTCCAAATGGCTGCTGGGGAGCTGTGGGTTAGCAGCTGCATCCTGTGAAGATAAGGCAGAGGACAAAAGAAGTGTCCCAGGGGTGGGGCGTGGGAATTATGGGATGCACAAAGCTCTGAGGAAATATCAATAGAACAACCTCATGGGGAGGAGTTAGGATCCCAGTTATCACTTGGAGTGATATCATTCGGAGGCTACGGGACCTGAACCTGTTCAGCCTCCACAAGAGAAGGCTGAGGGGGATCTAGTGGCTGTTTACAAACTAGTCAGCGGGGACCAGCAGGCATTGGGGGAGTCCCTGTTCCCCTGAGACTTACCAGGAGTAACGAGGAATAATGGCCATAAGTTGACCATGAGTAGATTCAGGCTAGATATCAGAAAGCACTACTTCACAGTCAGGGTGGCTAGGATCTGGAATCAACTTCCAAGGGAAGTGGTGCTGGCTTCTACCCTGGGGGTCTTCAAAAGGAGGCTAGATAGACACCTTGCTGGGGTCATTTGATTTCCTGCCCATGGCAGGGGGTCAGACTTGATGATCTGCTCAGGTCCCTTCTAACCCTACCAACTACAAAACTATGAAACTTGACTCCATAGTGTGGCCAAGGGATAGGGGTCCCCTCCTGCTGCCTCTCAGTTGCAGGCCTGATCTGAGTGAGTGGAAGCAGAAAGAGAAGCTCTGCATACAGTGGGGCTGATTCCATCCAGCTGAAGACATTTGTGCTGCATGCGTACTCTTGCCTCATCACTGCAGTAACTTCCCACCCTCTCTGATACTTCTGTTGAGTGTTGTAGCATTGTTTTGGATAGGGAAGATCCTGTCTCTGGCATGCGATTGGACTAGATGATCTCTAGATATTCCTTCCAGTTCTACTTCTCTATGATCTGCGAATAAGTGGAGCCTCCTATTGCCCCTGCGACTCAAGCATTCCCCCATCTGTGTGCCCATCTGATGGATGGGGATGGGAAATGCAGAGCACAGCTCAAGTGACTTGCTGTTGAGCACCCTGCAGAGCCAGAGAGAGAGAGCCCAGGAACACTAGGTTCTTCTTGGTCACAGCCAAGCCTCATAGGCCTAGTTGGATGTGGCCACTTGTTCCTCACTGTACTGCAACTAGAACCCATTCTGAAACTCCAAGATGGCCCTTACAATAGAAATGATGGGGTCCCCTCAATAGCAGGTTAACCCCAAACCTTGTTCGTTTCTGAGCTCTGGTCATGGAGCGGGAGGGCTCCAGAGCTGCTGTGAGGTGTGTGTGACTTGACTGACTGGGAAACACATCCTCCAGAAGCCTGCTACTGAGCACCTCAGGGAACAGGCCAGGCCAGCCATGCACAGTTAGGACCACAACTCCCATTCAGCCTCACCCAGCTGGAACCCAGATCTTTCACTGCCAGAGCAGCATCAGTATAAACATTGGGGATACAGAAATGCTCCTCTTAACTGCCCATCACCATTTGCCTCAAGCCCCTGACAGCAGTCCTTAGTCCTCCTAGCCCAGCTCCACCTGCCTCTGCCCCCAACAAATGTGCACATAGTGCCACACACTCACCTCACAGGCAAGGAGCATTGTACTCCATCACAGTACTTTCATCTGCAGGAGGAAGGAAAATGTACAATGAAACACACCTCTCCCTGGTATCTGGCCCTTCTGTATCCATTCCTTTATATAGCAGGGGTGCCCCTATTGGCAGCTCCATGCGCTGCCCTCTTCTCTCTCGCTGGAAAGATAAAGCTCCAAATTCAATCACCCCTGACAGCATGCCCTGCAGCTGGCTAATTCTATTGCCAGGGTCTATCACAGGGGTCAGCAACATCTTTGGACAGAGTGCCAATAACACCTGCAAACTCAGCTTGTAAGATGTTGGTGTGCCAGGGGCAGACAGCAGGGAAGCTGCAAGGGGCCCAGTCCTTGTTGTGGCAGCACAGCCCTGGCACCTTCCCTGCCATCCACACCAAGGTGTGCGTGCCAAGCAAAATGCCTTTGCATGCAACACTCTGGCACCTGTGCTGGGGGTTGCCCACCCTTGGTCTATCACATCTCTGCCCACAGACCAGCCAGCCTGACTCCTGAGCTCCCCAAAGAGAAAGGGGCCTAATGGATTGCTGGACCCCTGGTAGCCCAAATCACTACAACGTGCATGGGGGGGAGGGTTGGTCCTGTCCTGAGATGTGATGAGGAGGGAGAGACTGGCCTCATGCCATTGGCCAGCTCTTCCACCATCTCTGCCAGGAGTGTGAGGTTCCAAGCTGCCTCCACCTATTAAGGACCTGTTCCAGACAGGTGCTGAGCTATTACAAGTGCTAATTTAATTGGCAGGTGGTGCAGGCTTAGCACCTTGTAGCACCCAGTGGCATTGCCTTCTAAAGGGAAGAAGCTTCTTGGGAAGGTAGCAGGCACTGTGGAAGAGAGGCAAAGAATACCCAACTAGTTGG